TGCTAGCCTTTTGGCTTTCCACCTGGTCGCCAGCTACGCTGCCTCCCACCGGTGGCAGATAAGGGCAGCTGACGCTGCGACGGCCTACCTGCAGTCCAAGGGCATTGAGCGCATCCTGCTTCTCCGAGCCCCTCGTCCTCCACCACCTGGAGTTCCGGAGGGGTCCTGCATGCGCGCCCGCGGCGCAATCTACGGCACCAAGGACGCGGGCAGGCAGTGGTGGCTGCATCTGCGCGCCATCCTCGTGGAGCAGGGTTGGCGCGAGTCCATCTACGAGCCCTGTCTGTTCATGCTCAGGGACAGCAAGGGCAAGCTCAACGGCTTGCTGTGCACGCACGTCGACGACCTCTTCGTCGCGGGCGCGGGCGAGCAGTTCGAGCGCGTGATGGAGATCATCAAGGACAAGATTCGCCTTTCCTTCCAGTCCGACACGTTCAGGTACTGTGGCAAGGTCGTGGAGCAGGACAACCAGACTTTCGACATCGAGATCGGACAGGCCGCCACGGTCGAGGCGCTGGAGTACATCACCCTCGAGCCGCACCGCCGGCGCAAGCCCAATGCGCCACTCACCCCGGAGGAGATCTCTGCCCTCCGTAGCGGTGTTGGGTCGCTTGGCTGGGTAGCACGGCAGACGCGCCCCGACCTGGCCGTCCACGCTTCACTTGGGGCTCAGGCCATGAGTGGCCCCAAGATTCGTGACATTGTTGCAGTGAATCGTGCCATCAAGATGGCTAAGGACGACGTTGATTTCAAGCTGATGTTTTCATCCCGCCTGGACTGCGACAGTGCCATTGTGTTCGGCTGCGGGGGCAGCAGCCATGGCAACATTGACGACCTTACGCTAGGGGAGAAGGTCGAATCCCAGTGCGGCTATATCATCGGCATGGCGTCGCCCGACCTCGAGACGGACGCCACCGCGATCATGCGTCCGCTGGAATGGGCTAGCGCGACGATCAAGCGAGTGGTTCGTGGATCGCTAGCAGCTGAATGCAATGGTTTCTTGACGACAGCTGAGAGTGCGGAGTTCCTCAAGCACGTGATTGTCGAGATCTCCGACCCCGGCTACTCATCCTACCAGTTCGACCCGTTCTTCGACGGCAAGCATCTGCTACTGCTGACGGACGCGAATGGCCTTGTCACCTCCCTGGAGAAGGATGGTGGTCAGCCCGCTGACAAGCGAGTACGGATCCTGATGGCCCAGATCCGACAGCTACTCGGCCATGACGTGCTGAAACAAGAGCGAGAAAGTGACGACTGGAGGATACGTGTCAGATGGATCGACACGAAGCTGATGATCGCGGATTCTTTGACGAAGTCCGAGGCTGAGAGGAGTTTCTTGCTAGAGCGGCTGTCTGAGGGCCGCTGGTGTTTAGCGCAGACGAAGGAGATGCTCGCTGCTAAGGCAGCGGCAGGCGAGGCGCGCCGAGCCCGCAAGGCCCGGCCTGGCGATGCGGAGGGGTGGTCCTCCGATTTTCGTTTCCCTCCTTCTCCTCCTCTGCCTCCTCTCCCTCGTACCGTTTGGTTTGCATCCATATCGTTTATGCCCTGTGGTTTTATAGTTCCATATTTGCACGCCTGTTTAGGCACCGCTCTGCCGATTTTTTGAGATTTTCCTTCTTGAAGGCAGTGGATTTCATTACATCATTTGTTTTCTCATCTGTCTAATGGAGCTTAGCCCCCGCACTGTTTTTGGGGTCCGGACAAAGGTCCGCCACTTTTTGTCTCCGATTCCCCCGCCTTCCAAGATTGTGCCCGACGAGGACAAGCCTCGATGGTCACGGAGGGGTGTCAGAGATACAGGGTTTTAGCAGGCGTGCGTGTGTAGTATCTGTGCTTATCTTGTTTGTTACAGCAGCGCACGCGTACACAGGGCGCCCTTTTAGGATCAAGGGTATTAAAGCATCCTTATCATCGATCCCCGCCCGCCTGGGCGGACTCTCAGAAAGCCTAAAATGTGAAATTGTGAAACATGTACGTTTTACGAAGGGAATGGGGCAGTTTTTGCGTCTGGGGACCTCCTTGGGGTGCATCTTGGAGGCCTCTTGGGGCATCGCAGGGGCGTCTGTGGACGTCTGGAAGCCATCTAGAGCGGCTGAGAACGATCTGGAGCCGTCTGGATGCTCTCCAGGGCCGTCGTGGTGCTCTCTTGGGCCGTCTTGGGGCGCTCGCGGGTCGCCCTCGGGCGTTTGTAGGGTCGTCTTGGGGCCCTTAAGTCGTTCGACTTGGGGGTGTCTTTGAGGGACCGCCGACAGAGGTTGAGCCCCTGGGAGGGATTCTAGAGGTTTTGACCAGACCCTGGCGAATCCTGCCAGGCACGATGACAGAGTGGTCTCGCACGGCCCACACCGCAGGGCGGGAGCGGCCGGATCTTATAGGCTTCGCCCTCAGCCGCCGGCCGCCCATTACTAGTGCGGGCGGTTGCGCGGGGGTCTACTTGGGGCCTCTTGGGGATCTCCTTGGGGCCTCTTGGGGACCTCTCGGGGGTCTCCTTCAGGCCTCTTGGGGGTCTCCTTTGGGCCTCTTGTAAACAATACTTTGGGTCTCTTGGGGTCTCCCTGGGGCCTCTTGGGGCCTCGTGGGGGTCTCTTGGGGCCTCGGGGGACCTTCTCGGGGCCTCCTGGGGTCCTCTCGCGGCGGAAAAGTCGCCCTCTTGGGCCTCCCTTGGGATCGTCTCAGGGCCTTTTTTGGCTGTCTGGGGCCCCTCTTGGACCGTCTTGGGGCCGTGTTCGGCCCCGAGCCGCTGGGCCTCGGCGGCCGCCCCTCGGCGGGCTGGGGCTTCGCCTCCCCGCGGCCGAAGCCGAGCTTCCTCGCGTGCTGGTCTGCTCGCGCGCATGACGTCCGGCGCCTCGCAGCCGCGCTTGGGCCCCCGCTGCGCCGCGACCCCGACGCCGAGCTCGCTGGCGCAGCCGCGTCGCGGTCCCAGGCGTTCGGGGTGGACTTCGCGCCGGGGCATGGTCGACCTTCGCTTCGGAGGCGTGGGCCGAGTGCGCGCTGGCGGGCCGTTCGTCGCTGTCACCCCCGTGCTGGGCGTCTCCAGCTCCGTCGGCGTCTTCGACGACTCTTCCCTGGCCCCGCGCGCGGGCGCAGGCGGCGCTGCGAGCGGGCGCCCAGCCGCTGGCAGTCCAGGCGCCGCCGGCGCACCGGCCGCGAGCTCCCGACCAGGCGTCCTGTGCCGACAGTGCGGCGCGCCCCCGGCGGTGGAGGGCGCCGTTGCTCCCCCGGGCCCCCGCGGCGTCGAAGGAGTTCCCTGTTGCTCCAGCGCGACCTGGAGGGGGCCCGCCGGCGTCTGTGAGGGCTCCTCTTCCCCGGCGTCGACGCTTCGCGGGCCGCGCGGCTCTGGCGCGGCATCGCGGGCGACGACGAGCGTCGGCGGAATCTGCGCTCGCGCGCCAGCCGGGGTAATGGCGCCTCCTGGATTGCCGCCCCGCGCGCGAGGTGGGTGCAGGCTGGCTCAGCGCTGTGACAGGCAGCCTTCCTGAGGCGCCTGGGCTGCTTTTGAGCCGCCTTGGGCCACCTGCAGGCTGTGTCGCGCCGCTGCCGTCGTTGGCGAGGGCGTGGAAGTGCAGGAGTGGCGATGTGCTTGGCAGGCGCGCCGCGTCCGCCCTCGCGTGCACCCGGAGTGCGGCGCGGTTCCGGGCCCGCGCGGGACCTGTGCGCGGCCTCGAGGAAGAATTTTGCTTCGCGGGCGCTGTCGTCGACTTGGAGCGGCGGGCGCCGGAGCTCTACGGGGCGCTGCTGGGCGGCGTAATCGTCGTCGCGTTCCCTGCCATGTCTGAGCGCCGGTGGCTGGACGCTGACGTCCCGTTGCCATTCAACCCTTCGCTGGCCCACGCGGGTCGCGCCCCCGGGGGCCGCTGCCGCCGCTGGCGCGCCATGGCGAGCAGGTGGGCTCCTAGGCAGGAGGGGATCAGCTGCCCGCGGGCGGCAACGGGGAGAAGGTGACGCGCCATGGCGAGCAGGTGCGCGGCATCGCTGTCGAGGCGGGCGGCAACCTCAGCGCCGACGCCGCCGCGGCGCTCGCGGCCGCCTCGCAGGCGCACGGGCGCTTGCAGCGGGACGGCCGCCGAGGGGCGTCGTGTTGTGGGCCGCAGGCGCCGCCGTCGCCGCCCTCGGTTGCTAGCTCGCCGCCGGCGCGACTCGCAGATTGCAGCTTGACCTCGGCCACCCGGAGGTGTTCTGATCATCGTCATCATCATCATCGTCATCATCATCATCATCATCCTCATCATCATCATCAACAACATCATCAGTATCATCTTCATCGTCATCATCGTCATCGTCGTCGTCGTCATCATCATCATCATCATCATCATCACCGTCATCATCGAAAGGGAGAGGGGGAGGTGGTGTTCTCGTGCTCGGCACGGTCGGGGTCATAAGAAGAACTCCGTGTTTATGATATGGGGAAAGCCCGTCATGAGCTCTACAAGGCCATTGTGAGCACTGAACACCGCCTGTGAGGTTCATGCCAGCGGTAGCCAGGGTTGAACCCTTGCCACCACCCTCCAGAATTTCATATTCGCTGCCAACCATGCCAGATCGCATCCATGCAATTTCCATGGTCCTTCTAGCCGCGTGCTGTAATCAACTTGTGTTCGTGCTGAAAGCGAGTGGGTCTTGTTTTCATGGGGCGATAACGACAGAGTGAACAGGTGATGGTGAAGGCAGCGGGATGAGGAGGGAAAGTGGAACATTGGGGGGAGTATGTGGGTTCAAGTAGCCGTCAGCTTTCTGGTGCCCAGTCTTCATGCGAAAACAGTGCTGCTGCTTCCTCTGACTTCGTTGCCGTTTGACGCACCCGTGTGCGATCGCCTGGCATATCGCAGTCGCTGGTCGCACTATGCTCCGCTATTCAAAAACCCGCGAACTGCCAAGTTGTTGTCTTCCGTCTCCCTTTCCAGATTGGTGGCTTCCGAATGGTTCGGTGCCAGGCCGACTTCCTTCCTCCTCCGCTTTCTCTCTTGCTACTCTTTCTCTGCCGTTGCTTCGGCCCTGTCCAGATTGGTGGTGTCATGATCCTGGGTGACCGTGGCACTGGCAAGGCATTCGCTGGGGGGGGGCATGGCAGTCTGGCAGAGCCCGAGGCACAAACTTGAGACTTGCATGGGTTTGACACGGAGGGAAGGTTGACAAACAGGGCAGGAGAAAGAAGGGAGCGACGGACGATGAGGAACTGTTGTGTTGGATGAGTTGTCGGCAGTGATGGAAACATCCTTTCCACAAAACTGATTGTGGTAGTTCTCAGGGAATACGCAGAACACAAAAACGACACATCCTGACCAAATATGGCCGTCCCGTCCCTCCGTTTTCTCCATTCCTTCCCTCCTGTTTTTTTTTCTCTCCCTCTTCCTCTCCCCCTTCATGTCCCTTCGCCCCCCACTTCCCCTTCCCCTTCGTCTTACTCTTCCCTTTCTATCCCGTATGCTCGCGCAACAGGCGCGATGAGAGATGGGATGAACTGGAGGAATGCAGGTTCCACAGAGAAAGCAGAAGTGCAAGAGTATGTCACCGGGCTGCAGGGAGCACTTGAAGCGGAGCGGAGCAGTGGGTTGCCAGACTACCACGATCCGCGCCCTGGTGGACCTCCTTCCGGAGAGTGTCGCCTTTTTGACTGCGTCACCGACGATGCGCAAAGTTGAATGGGACATTGTAAAGAGTGCATGAGCCGAGATGTGGATTGTGCTTGGCGTTAGAGTGAGTTCAGTGGGGGCTTAAGGCGAGTTTAGCGTCGGCCGGTTGGCGGCAGTACGCGAGCAAGCAAGCAAGCAAGCAAAAATGCAAAGCCTTGTCGAATTTAATCGGTTTGTAAGCGGACGTGGGCAGAAAGCTATGAATTCGTGTGGGCGGCGGGAGATAGACATACAGAATTTGGTTCAGGAGTCTAGCGCGTATCCCTCGGCCTGCGCACGCAATTTCCACTAGTCTTGAACAGCGACTTACCATGACTGCGAGACGATGAACAAGGTGGGATGATGGAGGATGGGAAAGAGTGGAAGACTGAGGGATCATTCACTTGGTGTTGATTCTTGTTTCTTTGGGGGGGAGGTGGGGGAGGAGGAGGAGGAGGAGGAGGAGGAGGAGGAGGAGGAGGAGGAGGAGGAGGAGGAGGAGGAGGAGGAGAAAGAGGAGGATGAGGAGGAGGAGGAGGAGGAGGAGGAGGAGGAGGAGGAGGCGCGCCCCCCCCCAGTCACCTGCCACAGCTGGCCTGCGGATCGCGTCACCCTTCTGGCGGGGGACGGTGCGCGCGCGTGCAGTGCACTCTGCTCTGGGTCCCAACTGGGAGGCAGGTTTGGGCTGGGGGGCGCTCGTGCCGCGCGTTCCAGAACGCAGGCCGACACGAAGCATACGCATCGTACGCGTGCCTACCCAGGGTCAGCGCTCACGGTTCTTGTGGAGCCACGAGTCGAATGCCTTGCCGCACGCCAGATCGAAGCCTTCTGGCGGCCTCGGCTGCCTGTCGTCCCTTTGGCGGCCGTCGCGGCGTCACATGTCTGATAGATCTTCCGACGCTCATCGGAGTTGAGCTGGCCATCGCCGTCCAGGGCAATGGAGGATAATGTCGCTTCGACCTTTAGTGCAAGGGGAGCGTCTTCCCTGGCCCTAACCTGACACCACTCGGCCACAGCAATGAAGCCGTTCCCGTCCAGGTCGTGGAGTTTCTGCAGCCCAGCGGTCAAAGGGTCCTGGGACGACTCCTTCTCTTGCAGGACTGCTTCGCGCCCTGATCAACGTCGGTGTTGCGACTCCCCGGATGTTTTCTGTTACTTCTTCGAGGCGCTGTACACGGACAGCAGATGCGAGTTAGTGGTCGCTGGTTCCCACCACCCCGTTTTCGCGTCGAGGGCGGGCATCCGGCAAGGGTGCCCACTGTCTCCGGTCGTGTTCGCAGTGGCCGTTGGTTTACTGCTCCGACGATTGCGGTGACTCTCCCTCGGTGGCCTGCGACGGGCTTAAGACGACTACTTTGCTTTTGTTATTTCAGACTATCTGCGCGCGCTGCCTGGCTGTCGTCTTCACCGATTTCGCTGCGATGTCGGGCCTCCAGTTGAACCTGGCCAAGACGATATTGGTGCCCTTCTTCCTGTCAGTCAACGCAGAAGTCGTGGACGATATGACCCGCGCGTGCCCCGGATGGGCTGGGATACGTATTGCCAGTTCCGCCAATTACTTGGGTTGTTACCTGGGGCCAGGCCGTGGGAACTGCGCTTACGATGCCCCGATGCGGAAGGATAGCCAGCGCGCGCGGTTGTGGGGATCCGTCTGCGCTGGCCTGTTCCACACGGTGATCGCCTTTGCAGTCTTCGTGCTGCCAGTGCCGTCGTCGTGGCGCTTGTAGACAGACCTCCGCCAGAGTGGGTCGAGGCGGAGGTGGTGGCCGTCCGTCGGTTCGCGCTGGGTCCAGGCCACTGGTGCTGCCCGCTGGGATTCTGATATTGGAGCACTTGGGCTTTCCCAAGAGCTTGCCCGACTTTGAGGCCAGAGTCGCCGCTTCTCAGTGCCAGGTGGCCCATCTGGAAGCCCTTAGCCAGGGGGGCCTGCAGATTGCTTCACGGGCCCAGGAACGCCGGCAGTAGCGCAACCAGTGCGATCCACCTATCCTGCCCGCTATTTGGGCGACCTGGCTGGATCGGACTTGCGTCTTCCAGATCGATGCGTCGGTGGCCGCAGCGGACAAGGCTGGGGCAAGCAGGGCAACGGTGGGCTGCCACCTCTTGGATCGGTCGCAGCGCCCCGCCACTCAGGCCGGTGATTATCGCTCCCGTCGCGGCTTCAACGATTCGTCAGCAGGACCGTGGAGCCTGACCGTTCGGTCTACATGGTGGGCCGCGTGTCGCGGCGAACGCGCGGTGTCGCTGCTCTAGCACCTGTCGCCGTTGGTCCCGCCCAAGATGTGGGCTTGAGTCCTCCCGACTCTCTGGGATGGCTGGGTCACTGCCCGCCGGTGGCCTGGCGGGCCCATGGCCTGCTCCAGCTGCATTTTCGGCTGCCGTCGCACAGTGCGTGGGCAGTGTGCGTTTTGTGAGGCCGTCGCTGATTTCTCGAGACGCAGGTTGTGGCTACCGCTGGCCGCTTCGCAGGAGGCGGGGCTAGCTGACAGAGCTGTTATTGGAGGCAGGCCCAGAGCAGCGGTCCCCACGGGGTCTCACTTTGCGGGTTCGCGCCGCGGCAGTGTATAGAGTGCACAGTTGGTTGAGACATGCGACGCGGCGCTCGTTGCGCATGGCGAGGGGCGCGCTGCACCAGGCCGCCCGTGACCTTGCGGCTGGCCACGCAGGTGCTGTTCGAGCGTTTGATATCGCGAGGATATAGCGGACAGGGCAGCGGGCGTGTCTCGCAGCAGGTCGACGGCGTGCTCCAGAGCAGGGCGGCGACCACCGCGTCGCTGAGCAGCGCCTCGACGGGGGCATCCGCTTCTGAGGCGTGCAGTGCAGCGTGCATCGGGCAGTTTTTGTTTCTCTCTCCCTCTCCCTCTTCTCTCCCTCCCCGCCTCCTCCCTCTCCTCGCGTGCGCGGTGTCGCCGCGATAATGCCAGCCGGCTGTGCGGCGAGCCCGCGCTGGGCCCTCCCCGAGTCGCGCGGTTCGCGCGTGTGTTGCCTACGCCCCTCGTCTTGGAGGTCAGTCCTTCTCCTTTCTTCCCCGCTGCTGCCGTCGTCGTGCTGTGCCTCCCGCCTCCTCTCTCCCTGCCTCCGCGCCTCGCGTGCTGCTCGTGCCTCGCAGCGGGCACTCCTGTGCTGGTAGGCCCCCAGCGGCCGAGGGACCGCCGCGCGCGCCGCCCCCGTGGCATTTCGTCGTGTGTTCTGGGTGTGGGGGGGCAGGATTGGTCCGCCCGCTTGTCTGCGCGTCGCCGCAGGCCAACGCTCCCACATGCTGCTTGTGTGATTGTTCCTCCTCTTATATTCCCCTGGCAGCGTGATGTCACTTTGGCAGTGGTTGGCCGGTTGGACGGCGAGTCCGCTCAGCGCCCTCGCGCTGTCGCCCGGTGCGAACGCGCAGTCGCACCACCTCCTCTCTTCAAGTCGCTCTCCTTCCTCCCTCTGCCCCCCTCGCCCTGGTTGACTGCTGGTGCTGGGATGTCCGCCGCTTGCCGGCGCCTTGTGGCGTACTTGAGGGCCGTTGTTGGCCAATCTCAAGCTTTGTCCTGGGCTTGCCCGCCCGCTTCCCTTGATCGCACCGCGCTGTGCGCCCTGGCCACCGATGAGTGGGCTTTCGTCCGCTTCTCGTTTGGTTGATTCTCAGCTTCAGTCTACACACTGGTGTGCGTTATTCGCCCAGTCTTGCAACCATATTCTAACGTTTTTGCCGCCGGCTCGGGTCAGGTTTGCTGCGCATTTTTTTGGGTGTTGCTGATGTTATTGTTCTTCCCTTGCTCTGTCTCGCCTCCTTCCTTTGCCGGTGTACCGGCTTATCCTGCCGTGAACTGCTGTGCACCGAGTCCCGTGACAGCCACAATGCTGGTTTGTTGACGAGCCGAGCGGCGTAATTCGTGACATTTTCGTTGCGCATTGCCGCAATTAGAGGTTTTTTTCGGAGCGCCCCGGGGTGAACTCGTCGTTTGAGTTTCATTCCGCCTTCCCCCCGTTCTTGTTCCTTCTCCCATGGGCCTGAATCCATAGCGTCTGTGTGCTCGATTTAAACGGCTGGTAGCCGTCAGGGTTGCGCACGCATGGAGTTTGTCCGATGAGGCGGTGGCTGAACGGAGTTCCAGGTTTGCAGTTCTCAGTGCTGGCCGCCGCGAGGGTGATGGTGGATGGTTCATATGGGCAGTCGCGTTGGAAACAAAGGCCCCCGGAGGGCACGGCGGATATCTTCATCGGGTCAGTCGCTTTCGGAAAAATCTACGTCGGTGTTGCGGATCGTTGCGACGACGGCGCCCTCCATCCGTGGAGCGGTTCCACGGTATCGCCCGCAGACGTGGCGGAGGGTAGCGTGACTCTGACGAATGTCCCGGCTACTAGCATCGCCACGCCGACGGTGGCCTCGTGCCTAGCCGCGCCGCTCGATCAATCGTCCTCCACCTCGGTGGCGGTCGCCGTTCCTCTTGTGGGCTATCTTGCACGGCCCGTCCGCGGACCAGATCTGCCAGCTGGCTCCTCAGCTCTGTGGACGGGCCGCGCGCAATCGCCGTCTTTCCGCGCCTGCGCTCTTCGTTCATACCCATGTCTGGGCAAAGCTGCGGATCCAGCTCTTGCGTAGACTCGCCATCCTTCTCGATCTCTTCCTCCATCTCTTCCTCCTCCTCAGCGGGCTTTGCGACTGACGCGATAGCCCACCGGATCATGGCGTTGGCGAGTGTCGCGATCAGCAGAACCTCTGTGCAGATGCCAACCTCGTGCACGGTCGTGCTACCGAGGGAATCGTGTTGGCGGTCTCATGTCGTCCTCTGCTAGTTGGCGCCGCAGGCCCAATGGCAGGTTGCGCGCTGTCGTCACCTGTTCCATGCTGCCGTCCGCGCCCGTGCACTCTTCCTGATCTTGGTCCAGGTAGTCATGGGGCTCCTGCTCCTGCTGTTCGTTATCGCCATTCTGCTGGATGCTCATGTTTTCCGCAGGCTTCGCGATTTGCGCGCGAGCTTAGGCGGGCTCGTATCGCAAGCGC